GTGGAATCTATTTATAGCTATGCTATTTTAAACTAAAGTGTGGCTCACCCGGTTGCCAATTGGTACCTATGTGCGACTTGCCAAAGTAGAATTGACCTCGCTGCTTCTTCTTTAACTACCTCAGATAAAGAATTCGCAGTTCATCAGCCTAGATAGAACACTTTATTAAAATTTATGCTTGTATAAAAATTCAATTAGCTTACTTTCTGAGGATCATAAAATATATTTATTTTTTTGATATGACTAGTTCTAGCATTGTAGCAGTATCCCTCTTTAATTATCAAATGGTCTGGGTCTTCAACTTTGGCCTTTTTATAATATGTAGTTCTTTTTTATGCAAATTCTTTTTGGAGACCTTTGATAAAACATTTGGCAATAACATAGTAATAATATAGTAAGCAATTTTATAAAAATTTTTGAAAAAAACAAGTCAGAACTTTATAGATAACTCTTTTATTATAGAGCTTGCCTATGCTTCACATAAATTATGACTTATTTTTATTTAGTATATAACTATTTGACACGAAGCAGTATATATAATACAAATGACTTAGCATTAGAATAATTTAACATGAGTCAACTAACAATTTTTATTTGGCGTTATAACAATAATTTAACACTACATAACAAATAATTAAAATGTTTACTAAATTCGGCTAGAACATGACAAATCAACCATTGCATATTTTCTATATTCAGGATTAGATTATTAATAACTTGTTGAAAACATATTTGGGAATACAGGTATAGTAATAATTTTATATATTATATTTAAGCTGGATCTACAAATTTAGAATAACTATTATACACTTTATTATTATCGGTATACTTATAACAAACATGTTTTCAATTTTTTTTACCAAAGTGCAGAAGTGTAAATACATAAATACCTATAAATATCTGTAAATATAAATGCACATTAGTCTAACACAACCACGTAATTTTTATTGTTGGCCATTAAATCGTGTTGGTACTGATCCATACTAAAATAAATCACATAAACTCGTATCGATACTGGTATATTTGTGCTAGAAAAAATAAAGTATTTATTATCACATGTCTTAACAGATCTGTGAGACCACCTTTTATTCAAAGCTTATTTATATCAATAGGTTAGAATTTTTTTATTACTTCTGGAGAGACGCTGTATTAATACAGTAATATTGTAAATACAGAAGTGATATAAGGTTTTGTAACACTCTCCTGCAGAATTAATTCTCACAGTCAATTTTTAATGAATATTATGAATAATACCTAGACCTTTTTTCTTACTTTATATGATTCTGCGATAAGAATAGAACTCTGCGAAGCAGGACACTTCATGCCTAAAAAGGCTATAAGGGCAATAAGTATAACATTCTTTATCAGTAGTTTTATCAAAATTCATATGTCACAGGAACTTCAAATCTCTGCTATCTCTCAAGATCGTCAAATTTAAATTCACCTTAAGTGGTCATCGATTATAAGGGGTTAATTTCACTAGAAAAATGGCAAAATAGATTCACTATTTGAACCTTATGACCAAGCAGAGTTCTTTATAGAGAAAAAACTGGTATTAGACTTGGGCATCATAATTACTAATTATGCATTTTCTTTCTAGCAGGTTCTTAGACCTAACGAATATGAGGTATAAAAATAAGCAGATTTGCTCACAAGGTAAGTTAGCAATAACATTGCTCTTATATATTTTTTTGGCTTAACTTATTTAAAATTTATTCTAAAGGTTTGGTTAACGTATATTGTTTATTATATGTTTTTTTCGAAAGCGAATTTCTGCTTACTATTTATTTTTATATTAGAAAGCAAAAATGGCAGATATTACTTTAAAATATCATGTCAGCAGTGATTATTTAATTAATATTCCCCCAAATATGACAGTTGCCAACCTTAAAAATATGATTAGAAATAATGTTCCTTTTACCGATTTTGATTTCTATATAAATGATACTGCTCAAGATGTAAGAAAGTATATAGATCTGCAAAATATAGTTTCACAATATTTTGATGTTAATAGACTGATCACATCCATATCCTTGTTTATGAAAAATAATTTTTTTTTTATATGTATTCGCACTAAGTAATTGTGATATATTTTTTTATTTGTATATTATGTTGTCATTGTGCAATATAATTTTTTATAATAATAAAGAGAGAGGGTTTGCTGGGCTTTTAATTTTTTATTTTTACGTGATAGTATGAACAAGTATTGGTCATCAGTTATACTATTATTTCAATTTTTATTAGCACCACTAAAATTTAATATACACTAATCGATTTTTTATAAGTTACATTACCGGTTCTTAAATCATAGTAATAACCTGCATCTTCTTTGTCATCAGAAACCATTGTGTCTATATCATTTATCTTATTATTATCAGAAAATGATACGTTTTCTTCAGAATCATTGTCATGGCTACAATCACTATCATAGTTTGTCTAAACTTCATTAGTTTCTTTCTCAATTGACGAAGGCATGGGATCATCATAGTCATTAGCTTTGGGCAAATTATCTGGACCAATTACTTTGAAATTATCTAAAGAATTAGATGCAGTTAGAACGCTTACTTCAGAATATTTAATCACATGTGCATTACTTTTTGTAACGCTAATGATCATTTTTTGGCATTCATCTATATCAGTAGGCTGTTTAGGAAAACTATTTATAATACCCTGAATTTGAATATCACTTAGACATGAAATAGTATATATGCTATAGATAATTCGTTTGATCTTATCTATCCCTATTTCTGTGAATAGTGTGTAAATTTTTTTGGCTCTGAAGGTTTTCTGACGTAAGTTTATATTAGTAATGTTGTGAAGAAGAAATTTTATTTCATTATACACCAATGTTCTTGCTGATTGGTCATTGATATTTTTTATACCTTTATAGTCTTCAACCCAATTCTTATATGCTTTATATAAACAATACCAGTATAGATTCTCCTTTTGCCTGACCTTTATTGCCATGTTAAATAAATCAGCTATACTTTGCATTGCAATTTTATTAGATCAAATTAAAATTATTTCAAGAAGGAATTCAGGAATTTGAATATCAAATAAGCTATGTTTTTCGACATCATCATCTTTGGTAAAAACAGATAGCTTATATCTCAAACCTTGCTCTACTTTCTGATTGTATAGAATTTTTGTTTTTTCATCACATAGTGATCAAGAATTACTATTATCAGAAACAATATTCACTGAGTACTCCACACTTATTTCGTTCTGTTTTTCTTTCTCTATCTAGTGCAAATTGTAAATGCTTGATTCTTTAAGTGTTGAGCTTTCCTCTTCAGAAGATGTTGGAGACATTAGTTCTTGAGTTCGAAGTTTTTTTTCTCTATTCCTCTCTCTCATCAGATTACTAACCATTTTCTTGTTTTCTGAATCCAAGAAAGAATACATCTTCTTTTCTTTCAATAATTTTGAATATCTTTTGCAAGGTTGAGGTAAATTGACAGTTGATATCTTTGGTATCAGTTCTTCAGGAACAAAATCATCTATTTTCTTATCTGATACCTTTGCTATCCCTTTTATTGACTTGGTGTTGACATTATTTTGTTGGTCTACTATGGAGTTGGATAAATTAACAGTTGATACCAAATTATCTATAGATAACTACACCTTTGCTATCGCTTCTTTACTATTCTATGTCTGACTATTCACAACAAAGGAAGCCTGTTCCACTATTACAAGTCTAGCTTCAAGCTCCATGTTCTTTTATTCTAGTTCCTTGACTCTGATATCACATATCATATTCTCCTCAATAATTTTCTTCAACTTTGTATTCTCAGCCTCAACCTCAGCAAATTTTTTTTCAAGCTCAGGAATCTTATCATTTTCCTTTCTAAGCTTGGCAATCTCAATTAAGAGTTTAGCATTTAATTCTCTTAATGTATCAATGGTGTGAATATTTTCCATTGCTCTCATAGAGCGCTAGTATATTCAAATTTCAAATTAATAAAAATAACATGCATATTACTTTTCGTAATGCAAATCATTTTTGCCAAGAAAAAATTTTTTATTAATACATGCGAAAAATAAATACAAATGTTCAGGACTAGCCTGTGATACATGACGTCTATACTATTGTCTGCGGACTAATGACTGCATAAAAAAATTTCACTTTAATCTCGATTATATGTAAGCTATATATCGACAACAATACAAAATAAATTCCCGAAATACACATGCAAAAGTAAACGTGATTATGTATGCGAAATTAGCAACTGTGATCAGCTTTATTTGTACAGCAAAAAATAAAAATGATCATTTGTTAGTTACAATTCAGGATACACCACATGGAGGTTAATGCTCGGGTACACCATAGAGAAATTAAAAAAAGAAATAGCAATAGTTAGCAAAATTAATGATTAATTATAAATTTGTTATATATGAAAAATTTGATAGAGGTGTCGTTAATAATATTGAGGGTTAAGTTTAGAAAAGTTGTATAAAGATGGTCTTTTGTTGTCAAGATAATAGGATAATCATTAGATTTGCCCACTTCATCTATAGTGTCTGACGAAAATTTTTGCCCAACAACAACACCTATAACTTTACTAATTTTACTAACTTTACTATACTTTTTTCCAAACACATTACTCTTCTCAATGATCTGACGGTTTCTGGTCCTGTAATCAATTAATTAATAATAAATAAAAATAATATAATAAAATAAATAATAATAATTTATCTATATTGTTGTACCAATTTTTACATTGGATTATTATTTTTTTTTCTCCAATATTATATATAATGTCGATATCACCATCTTCTCTTTTTCTATAAATGATAATATGTAAGTACATGTATCATCATTATTAACAACTAAATATTATATGGCCGGAATAGTCTACGGTGACATGCTCATTAGTCCTATTCATCTATTAATTCCCCGTGTAGGCAATACGAACCGCAGGAACACTAAGTAACTGAGAAGAAGAACGTTCTATGTTGAAACATAGGCCACGAAGAGCTTTCAATTCTTCTCAGACATTTTACACTGATGGGACAGTGTAACTTCGGATATATGATAACTCAACAAATACTTAGTGAAAAAACTCACCCTACATGAATTACTTCAAGACCAAAGCTTCTCAACATTTCAACAATATCTACCTCCAAAATCAGACCCTTTATATAAGTTGTTTCTTCGATACGACCTTTGACTACAACGGACTCAGAAAGCATTTTAATTTTTTTTTAAGATTTCTTGAAACTTAAAAATAAAATTAGTCTTTTTTTTTCATCTTTTTATTCCGAATTGTTATCACTCCTTTTTGCTAAGAAATTTCATAAATTTTATGATTTTTTTTTTGTCAAAAGAACGTGCTTAAATTATTCGGGTTATTTATCATGAGAAAAAAAAACACCCAAAAAACTATTTTAAAAATGTATCGAGATTATATGTATATACGATCTGCCTTAAACAATAATCATACCATAAACGTATACGTACAAGCTTTCTATACCCCTCTTACTAACAAGGTTTGGAAAATGTGATCTATTTACCAAATTTAGTTTAGGGCATTCTGCAATAATCAAATAAATTATATATGTGAAATTTCTATAACCTTCTATTTTATTCAGTAATCAAGTTGTTTAAACATTTATCTCATGTTATCTAAGCATTTTTGAGCTTGAAATAATAGGCTATCTTCAAAGCTGATATTGTCAATATTATGGTATTACTTATTATAGTTAGACCTTAATCATGGGTATATGTAAATCTCTAAAAATAGAACAATACACCGTGTACTATGTGATTTGTTTTTATCACATAATTCACATGATTATATAGGCTGCCATCAATATTTGAAAAAAATCAATGCTTTAACTTTTATAGCTTATATTTCAATGAAATTTAAAGCTATCTTGATGATTTAATATTTAAAAGAAAACTTACGATCTAAGCTATCTTTTAAATATTAAAGTATCAAGATAGCTTTAAATTTTATTGAAATATGAGCAATAAAAGTTAAAGCATTGATTTTTTTCAAATATAGATTTGCTTGATAGTAGCCCATATAACAAAAGATAAGTTATACGTACAGTGCATAACTGATAACTAGTAAAATTCTAAACCAGATAAATGTCTTCTTTTCGAAATATTATAAACCTTTGATATAGACTTATTGTATTAAGTTTATTGTTATAGGAATATATTTTAGCTTATATGATATGAAGATATTAATCCGATAACAGATAATATATATAATCCAAACTTTCAATATTATGCTGTTATTTTTTTTTTTTTTTTTTTCGGTGTTAAGGTAACCTCTTGGCCGGGGACTTTTTATTAGATAATTAACAACGTTACAAT